TTCCGTGTAATAATAAGGCTAAACAGAGATAAAAAGAAAAAGTATTGACAAATGTAATCATTACATTCGTGTCCAGAGGAGCATTATTAGACGCGAAAGCAGCACTTGTAAAATTTATATTACATTCTATGCCTGATATTAATAATGGAGTTGATTTACGAGATATATTGAGATATATTGAAAAGAAGCGAAAGTTTCAGTACGTTTAAAGGATGATTTCATCCCTTCAAATAGTTTTTATTTCTCAAATGGAAAATTTTTTAATTCATTCATCTACTCAACCTACATTTATGCCAAGTTTCATTAAAATCTTCGAAGAAAATTCTTAGAATTTTCGAGATCCCCTTGTGAGATAAAATTTGTTTTTAGTTTGTTCAGTATATTATCTACGAAGTTCATAGTTCAAGATTGTCATTAGCCGGGCTTAATATAAAAATTGGGTAAATCAATATTCCCATGTATCTACAATTCTATTAGAATATTTTAACGATATTAGAAATCGATGCGGGAAAGATAAATTAAGTAAGTAGTTAACTACATAAACGTAGGGAAATAAATAATAAAAAAGTATAATTATCGATTCAATCAGTCAAATTTTCACGCAGACTTCTAATATCACGGGACAGTGATATCTCACATATTTGCAGATGTGTGACAGCATTCATTATGCATGATGTTTTCGATTCTGACGGATGCTTGACGAACTTACCGAAAATAGAGAGATATTCGTGAGTCCCGATACTTCACGTTTCCTTTAATCATATTTACCCATTAATTATTAGATTATTTAATATTCGCTCACCTTTCACATAGTCTACCTATGACTGAGTAGATCTAATAATTAATGCGTTGCCTATTAAAATTAAGAATAAAGATTGAATGCAGGTAGAGTATTGAGACAGTCGAGAATATTAAATAATTCTGAATTCTCCAAGTCTCTTTCCGAAGCTCAACATGAAGGAAACGACAATGAGTAATCATTGACATCAAAACTAATGCAAATTGTCGTTAATCGTAATTGTAATGTAAATAAATAAATTTATTTACATTATCTATTTAGCATGAGAGCAGGGCGATAGTCAGTATTCTATCTCGAAACTCTCCATCGGCCCTTTAAGTTCGGTGGAACTTGCAGGCAATGCAGGACCAAAATTTTGACCCATGGTTGCATCAAACTTTCGCGCTTAATCGTGAATTTCCTCTGCAGCAGCAGCGCAGAAGATACGCTTTGCTAGATTTTATTTAATCGCGTGGTCTCCTCTCGCAAAATGCGATCAACCGCCTCGATTAATCCTGCATTAAGACGGGAAATTTTTCGACACCGCTCGTTGAAATTTGCGGGTCGATCTTGAAAAAGAAAAAAAAAGTGAAATTATTGTAAAGAAGAAGATCAGCTTTCCGATTAATTACGACTCATTTCATACTCGGAGTAACGAAGTTTCTTCGGTTTGTTAGCACGAGAGAAAGTGAAGTCGCACGTGTAAGATTTAGAACGTCAATTGATTGAATTGTGCCGTGAATAATGTCACGTGTACTTGTAAGACGTGAGAGTATTTCGTACACGGAGAGAATTTTGTCGTAAAAATTATCGTAGAATTTTGTAACCGAGGAACAAATCGACGTTCTGCCGTGATTGACTGTCCTTTCATTTCACAGACACGGCAAAATACATATTGCATTCAAATAAATGTTACTTGTTTTAAGTTTATATGCTGCAGATCTACCATGAATTCATCATATGCGTAAAATTTCTTTAATATACATTTTGAATCCTAGAGAGTTTAGCACTTGAATCAAGAATATTAAATTAAAACAAATTCGATCTACTCTACGTAGAGAATCGAATCAACGCTTTCTTTGATAAAGTTTTAGAATATTCTTGTAAAGAGAATAAATTTTTCATTTGAGTAGATGATAATATATGATAATAAGAACAATTTGCGATGAGTATGTTTTAAGGCAAGAAAATATTCTTTGTTAAAGATTACTTAAGAGAAGAAAGGTAAGCCGCGCAATCGCTTTTCTTAGCAGCAAAATGATATTTTTCTGTGCCTATATGCTACTTATATTTCAACTGAAATGTACTAAAAAATTTACTATGTTTCTAGAGAGATTTACTATGTTCCTTAAGGCGGACTTCACTGACAGCGTATTCCTGCACACTATTAGAAAAAAAAACATAACGAAATGAAAAAGAGATTTCGTATGAAGAAGAACTATGATACCTTCTCTCCGTGTATAATAAACGGTGTCAAACGGTATTAATTTTTTCGAAACGGGTATAAGGGTGTGTGGAGCATGCGTCGGTTTCCTTGGGCGCGAGCGTGGGCTGAAGTCTCGTAAATAAACGCGCGTATAGTCGTCACCGTTAACATTCCCTAATGAAACGTAACGATAATGTATACGAGTCGTTTTGTTTTGCGCACGGAGCGCGAGGTAAATGTAACTGTATATCATTACCGTATCCACACCAGGTGTTACATATATGTATGTGCTGTAATATTGATTAATTAATTATTATTATAGTATGATTTATTCAGCGCCCCGAGAGATGCGCACAAGCTGATCAATGCAAATACGATTTAATAAGCGTTACTATTAAATCGGATTTTCAACCTTATGCACATTACACGTGGGATTGGAAGCTGTGTGTGTGTGTGTGTATAATCCCCGTTATTATTTTATATGTAACATCTGGCGTAGGTCCGTCGGCGAACCTTCCTCTGATGAAGAACGATCGCAGTTTTCTTTTTTCGCAACAACTGTAATTGTACACCGGGTGTCATGTGAATGTCGTGACGTTACGATCAGGGTTACTTGCACGCTTTTCAACCCCACACACCCACACATCCATACACACATACACACACACATACACATACAGACATACACTCGTGTGTAAAATGCGAAAGGTCGCACGGGAGTCTGGTGAGTAAATGTTAAGAGGTTCCTGGATACTCGTCGCGGCCATGCTGAATCGTGACGTCGGAGGCGAGAAATGACACGAGAATTCTTGCGTGCCACTTTCAGATAGAACGATGTTTGAGTGAAAGTACACTTTGGATTGCCTTGTAAAATTACTTTTCCCTTGACAGTCAACAAACAACTATAACATCAACGAGACAAAATTATTTTCTCTTTAATTTTGTCCCTAATTTTGTCATTATACGTAAATAAATAATATAAAATTTTGGGGAAAGTGCACATTTTATGTTGACTTTTTATTGCTTTTATGTCCCGTTGGTGATAATTATTTGATTCGATTTTAAGAGTTTCATCAGTCTAGTTTCAGACTGATGAATGATTTATATTAAAAAATAATAGAAGGCTATGTTCTGTTGATTGTTTGATGTCGAATAATGAATAACCATTTCACTCATCTACTTGCTTGTATCGATTTTGTTCAATCTATTTCAAAAATTAATATGTCAAAATATATTATATATGTGTAATAATCAAGAAGAGACGAGGGTGCACAAATTAATATTACAATATATCTTGCAATCGATGAAAAATTCCGGTTTTTTAAGGACAATATTGGCTAATTAAGAATTGATCGGCTTAGTTGCGTGTCACGTTAATTTCGCGGCTATTTATCGACTGTCGAGGGGAAAGGATGGTTTACGGGGCGTTCTGCAGGTGCTGCTCAGGCAATCTGACGTGTTTCTTCATACAAATATCTTTTCATGTGAAAACGGCACGCGAGAATGTCAGGCTCGCCTTTTCTCGGCCCGGGCCAAGAGTTCAGCGACGAGGGACCAGCAATCCCGAGGCACACGTGACACCCGGTGGCGCGATACAATCGCCGCGAAATGTATCTCTGAGTAGGTATATAGTATAGTTAGATCGGTGCAGCGAACGGGATTGGGCGGTGAGTCGGAGTAAAGTCAACAAACTCGCGGTTTCACTCGCACAGTAGTAGTAGAGAGTATAGATGCATGAGAGTCGGTGGAGTAAGTTGAAGAGTATGTCGAAGTGAGTCGGGCGGCGAATGCGAGCTTGTGACATTTTAATCCGACTCGCCCGCCGAGCCTATTCACTCAACCTGACGATACCTCGGAAGTAGGGTGCGACCGTCGTTAACCATGTTCTACTTTCCAATAGAATCTTGTTTCGGTCGATCCGATCCGGATCTCGCCAAAGCAGAATGGAATTCCGCTTTGGAGTTTAAGAATTCGGACCAATGCCGGACGTTGAAGACTTTGGAACAAGAAACTTTAGCGCGCGCTCGTTCGCAGAGTTATACGATGTAAAAAAACTTGCGGCTGGAGGGAGAAATGGCAGATGGCGTCTAATTAAAATTTCTCAGGCGGGATCGACTCGGAAGCGATGAAAAATTTCGCGCATCGGAGGAAGAGGCGGCGCGACCGCGGAGATTTAACAACAGAAAGTCAGACGACGGATTTTTCCGCTCTCGATAATAATAATCTCGAGTTCACTCGATTTTCCGTTCCTCCCGTTCGTCTCAGTCGAGTCAATTAATTATGTATGCGTGACAGATATACACGGATTGCGACGCGGATCACAAGAGCTCAGCTTCGCGAACGTCTCAGCCGTCGAGATCGGTCGTTCCACTTCCGAGTTATCGACATATGCATGGTATATGGTGTGGGTGTCAATGAATCGAGTCGCTGACGCTGGATATATTGAGTAGTATATGTTTTAATGATGTGACTTCATAATATGTCAATATGCACAGGTAAATATTCTTGTCATTATAATCGACGTGTTACAGTGTGTAATGTGATACGATAGTAGCTTCATAGTAACCAGTTTCTTTTTTTTCTTCTTTTTCTCTGTTTTCTTGTTCATTTTCCTTCCTCTCCTCGTCGTATAATTAAGAACTTAAAATAACTCTAAAGGATAAACTACATCACTATCGGCTACGCGACTATTTAGCGATAATAATAGCCTACCATGTCTTTTACTAGCGAACGCTCGATGAGTGTATATAATTTTCTTTTTTTTTCTTTTTTTGTTTTTATTTCATTCCTATTCTCTCTCTCTCTCTCTCTCTCTCTCTCTCTCTCTCCTCCCTCTTGTTTTATTTCTCTGTCCCTAGCTGTGACCTCTTCTGCGTATCTGACGCTCTTATCGATCCTCGAAATACCAAGCTCGCGTGAAAATTCTGAGGAGAAGCGCGCATTCAGATTCCCGGTTTACGTGTTTTACCGTAACGTCATGTGTATGTATGTATATATATATTTTTTTTTCTCTCTCTCTCTTTCTCTCTCTCGATATCGCTTTCTGACCCCGACTGTTCTTGCTTCGAGATACTCGACGGCAGAGCCCGTCTTCGACGAAAGACGTCTCGTTTTAGGATAATCACGGACGAGAAGATATGTCTCTTTGTGATGCGTGTGATGGCGGAAAGAGAAGACTTGGTATTTCCGGGATTTTTAATCAGTTACCGATTCACGCCCGCTGCTCCGTCACTGCTACCGACTGCTCGGAATGCGTCCCCGTTACAATTTTGCACGCAACGTTCTCGGAAACGAGAGCGTCCGAGGAGTTCGCCTTTCATCCTACGTTGCGCATCGCGAGAGTCGTGAACTTGTCGCGAAACGGGCGATGAAAGATCCCGAGGTTGATCGGGGCGAATTCATGCTTTGGTGGAAGAGCAGAGAGCAGAAAGGCAGAAGCCAGTCAGAACTCGCGTCTGGTGGTCAGATGATAATCTTCTGTTTCTCTACCAGCGCGAGTTCTGACTAGCTTCTGCCTGTCTGCTCTCTGCTTTTCTGTCAAGGTGTGAATTCTCCCTTAAGTTTCATCCGCAACATGCTCTTTGCTTGCTTCCTGTTTCTTGTTCTCTGTCCTTTTTTAATTGAAGGCTTAAGGTGTGAGTCAAAAAGAGATAAAGAAAAAGAAACAAGAGGCAAATAACACATTGTAGATCAAGCTTTAAAGCCTGATCTACAATATGCTCTTTGCGTCCTGTTTCTTCTCTTCTGTCTTTTTCTGGCTTAAAGCTTAAGGTTTGAGTCAGAAAGAGGTAAATCATCGTAGATCAGGCTTTCTCAAGCAGCACGAAGCATCGAGCCAATGTTGACTTTATGGTGGCTAATTTAGAATCTACAGTGGCCAACCGTTGACCAACTAATGTGTGCTGCTGGGGTTTACAGTCTCCAGTTCGTCCCCCAAACGTGACTCTAATCGCCCATCGATCATTACCGGATTAAAACGGCGAGAGGAGGAGGAAAATAACTTCGCTACGCCATCGTGAACCCCTAAAGCGGAATAACATACCCGTAAACCCATGAACGGCTCACGAGTTTGGAACGATCGCCTCCTCTACGCGAGCGCATTCTCGAAGGATGAAAGATCGTACTGCCATGATCGCGCGGCGTCGGAAACGACAAGAAAGCGCGTTGTCTCTCCTTCTTTTCTCTTTCCTTTTCAACAAACGCATCGGCCCTTCGATGCAACGACACGACACAAGCGCGTTTATTATACGGCGGCAATTATACGCGTATAGTCACGCAAATCCGCGCGAACGGACGAGAAGCGGCGTGATCGTCGTGTGTCCCTCGCGAACGGAGAGTACCTGAAGCAGATGTAGTGTTTTTCCTGCATCTTTAGACACACACATACAGGCGTCCTACGGCGTGTACACCAGCAGTGTAAGTCACATAAAAGTGGGTGAGGAGTCTCTTCGCGCGTACTCGTAAATGTAATATACGTTTATATAATATAGAGATGTATATATATATATATGTATGTATAAATATATATGGATGTGCGTGGGTCGTGGTAAAGTGGTTGGTGATGGTGGTTGTTGGTAGTGGTTGTGGTTGTGCTGTTGTGTTCAGTGTGTGACGGTAAATATATATATATGTATGTATATATATATCTATATCTATTTAACTGGTTGCGAGCAGAGTTTCGAGTCGCAAAGCGTCGTGTACTACATGCGAGACTTCGAGTGTCGTCCGATCTTCCTGTTCTCTACGAGCTCCTTGCTCTCTATTGTTTGTACCTGCCCTTCCTGCCTACTCTCAAACGCGCTAATCTCTCGCTGAATCGTCGTACGGCCGTTTCTGTTCACTTGCCTCGAGATCGTGCGTATTCGCCACGGGAGGGCGAGTCGTGAACAACCTCGTGGACGAAACAGCTTAAAGGGCGATCGATCGGACGATCGCGGATCACGTGGTTGATCTCGCCGAAATCGAGAAGCTTCCGCGAACTCCTGTGCGAACATTGTCGCACATCCGACTCATAATTGCCGATACATTCTGACAGCGAGAGATGTCACATGTCGTTAAAATTCGCATAAAACCACCTGTGAGTCGGTGGAAAACGTAAAGTATCGCTTTCTCGTCAATTTATGAAACAGGCTTCCCTTCAGACTCACTCACTCTCTCTCTCCCTCCCTCTCATGCTGCTTTTCGCGAAGCGTTTGTCACCTTCACGTATTTCCACGCTCAGCCTCTCCCTCTTTCGCACGCACGCACACACACATGCACACAGTTTCTCACTTTCTCACAAAAATAACAATCACTCTAATGAAGCTAGCTCTATTTCTCGATGCACAAACATAAGCAGAGATCGCACATCCACGTTGCTGTCCGATCGCGAAAGAAAACGAAAGCGCTACTTAGGCTGCACGGGCACGAGGGGGTTGCTTGCAGTTATCTGGGCGCGCTTCTTATAGCCTCCCCCTCGGCAAATCGCGCTTTGGATCCGCTTGGTCGAAAAGGGTTATACAATTCCAGAACTAGATTTCAATACTTTATATTTCATGTTCAGTTTTTTTTTTTTTCTATATATATTCTCATATAGAATCTGTAGATATACATTCTTGGCAAATCCGAAAAAACTGATTCCAAAATAGGAACAGATCATTGTGCGAACTATGTATACAGGGTGCAATTTGTGAGAGACGCACGTGTCGTGTCGTGTGTTCTGCTCGATACTAATATATCTCTTCGTTCTGTATTTCTCTCTTATCTCTTTTATCATCACTCTCTCTCCTTCTTTCTTTCTTTCTCTCTTTTTCTCTCTTTCCTCTGTGTATTGCCGCGAATTTGTTGTCGTCGTCGTCGTCGTTGTTGTCGTCATCGTTGTTGTCGCAGTCGTTATTGTCGTCGTCGTCGTGTATCCTTTCATTTCTCACTCTCTATCTTTATCTTTCACCACTTTTTTTCGTTTGGTTTCTTTCATCTGAACGGTGGTACATTTGATAGGGTGCACAGGGCTGCTAGGCACAGATAATTGACTCGCAAATAACTCTTCAAACAACATTAGAGCGTACGACATATAGTATTAATATACACATTACATCGTTATTTTTTTTATCCTTTTCGTTTTTAAGAGTAACCACATTTTTGGAGCGTGTCTACGCATGTGTGTGTCTGTGTGTGTTCGTGTGTGTGTGTATGCTCTTTTTTTCTTTAATTTTTCTTCTTTTTCCCAGAGAACATGTATTTGCAGATTCGCGTGTGTACACAAGCTCGTGCCTCAATATTGTCCGACGCAGAATGCTCTCCACCACGTTTCGAGGAATGATCTTAACATTATTGTTTCTTATGTCCTCTCCATATGAACGACGCGATTCGAGTTCGACTTGAAGAGAGAATCGTTCTTTCTCTCTCTATCTCTCTCTCTCTCTCTCTCTCTTTCTCTCTTATCTCTTATAGATATTCTATTATATTTATATATTTCCTTTTTTACATATAGATAGGGCAGCGCGTATATCGCGTACCGATGACGTGGATATATACAGAGGTCCCGGATCGTATTTCGCCTCGAAATCCCTTAATCCTTATCTGGATATATATATATATATATATATATATATATATATATATATATACACATATATATATATATATATATATATATATGTATATATATATATATATATATATATATATATATGTGTGTATGTATACGTGCGCGGACACAGAGGGGTCGAAGAGAGATGAAGGGACCCAAGGGGGTCTGCGCTGTCGCGATACATTTGACGTGTTTGCGGCGAAGTATACCATCCTGGGAGAGACGGAAAAAATTCGAACGCGTGATAAGAGCACACCCATCAGACGCTATTATTGCACGTTACTGTATTTCTCGTGTGCGCGTGTGCATGTGTACGTGTGTGTGTGTGTGTGTGAGTCAGAGTGTGACGTGTTTGGCGTGAATAGATCGTTTTCCACGACGTACGGCCCGCGATATCGGCGGCGCTGCGGCACAACAGGCTATTATGGATGGTCAATGCTCGAAATTGACACGACCGGCTCGAAATTGCCGAATACCCGCGTAGGGAACGACGATAGATGCTCCTTGAATGATCAAGCAGCTCGAGTCGGACCCGACAGACTGGCGCGCGCGCGCGCGAATTTCGCTTTCGCGATCGTCTTTCAACGTCGGATCTAGTTAATTTAATTAATTAAGCGCAGGCATCGCGGAACGCCAGTTCCCGAAGTTGTTTAATCCGCGTCTCCCTTTGGTCGCGCTAATCCCCGCGGCTTCCTCGAGAGCGTCGTACAGTTCAGTTCAGTCGCGATCGAGCACTATGTCGGTTGAAGGGACCAAGTGGATGAACAAGTTCGGCCGGCTTTAACACCTTATCGACGATAAAGAGGCACGTTTCTGCGCGGAATCTTTCGCAAACGAAGAGGCTGTTCGTGACTCGGGTTATGTCTGAGAGCCGTCCGTGGTCTCGCGAATTGTGTGGATCGAAAAAGAAGACACGAAATTATAGTAATAAAAAAATATTTGAGCTTTCCGAGTGACAAGAAGGTAAAGATGCCGATCCCCGCACCTAATCCTGAACATTCTTATTGTCTTGGTCTCCAAATGTATATGTAAACTTACAACGTAAAATACATATATATTCTATGTGAAAAGTTTAAGTGTTTACGAACCTTTAATACGTCAAAGGGATACTGAAATCGATGTGACTCTAAAAATTCCGGTAACGCAAAGGCGATATTGTCATAATCACACGTTATCTTTTTCATATAGATCTTACACAAATGTTCTTTGGAATCTTTTTGAGCAGAGCAATGTTCTATACGTACGAGCTACAGATCTTTATCAGGCGAATATTTATTTTAACTAACAGCGTTTGAAATGTTAACTTTGAAATTGTTTTATCGTTTTCCTCACATATTGAGCAACACTCCGATTCGTTCTCGCACGTATTTTTATTGTGTAAGAGCATTTGTGATTCAGTGCAACATAAACTTTGTAGAAAAAAGTCAATACTCTGGTGGTAGAGATTTCGACTCCAGCATCCCCTTGAAAGGATGCTGAAGTGGATGACGAACTCCAAAAATTTCGATAACGCAGACGCGATCGTTACTGACACGAGCAATGTATCTCGTGCATATAGAAATCTCACGCAGATGTGTGTTGCTTTAATATATTTAGCGAAAAACATGACTTTATGTGTATGGACGTTTTTTTGCAAATCTTCCGCGTACATTTTTAAGCTTTTAGATTTAATTGCATGGATGCAACTGTTGGAAACTTTCCCGAGCGGAGTAAACACACGTTCGGTATGTACAAAATGCAAAACTTTTGATCAGGTAAATATCTACGCCAACTATGCGACGGTTCCAAGAAATCAATTTCGAAATGTTTTATCGTCTTCGTCACACTTTGTCAATGCTCCGATTAATTTTTGCGGTGCTTTCGCTGTGTAAAAACATTTGTGATTCTGCGCGACGTAAACTTGACAGAAAGAGGTCAGTATTCTGTCGGCGAAGTCTCCAAGTTTGGCCTCTTAAAAGACCAGAACAACACGAGTGTCCATAATTAGATAAATGTCCGGGAATTGGTGCTTTTACCTCACGACTCTCATCTCGAATTTTTCGCGACCGAGTCTTGGGGTTATCACGAGAGTGATTCGGTGGTCTCGATTGAATTGTCTGTTTGAACTATTTTCGTTTACGTCACAAGAGATAACACGTTCTGAGCGCTACGCAAATAATTCTCGCGATGAATACTTTCCGGCTAACGATCAGGGCTTTTATTTGCCGTTCCTCTTCGCTTTGAATTTTTTTCCCTTTTTTTTTTTTTTTTTATAAGAGCTGCGCGTTCGCACAACTATTTATGGATTTTCTTTTTTCTATATTTTTTTTATCCGACTAGAATATTTTTGTAACGAGAAGTCAAGTGGCCTCGCGATCACCGGAAAAAAAAAGCGGATTTTCTCTGTTCGGGCCGATGGCGATTGTTACGGTTATCATTGTATACACCGAATATCGAATATTGAAGTGCGCGACGCGTCGTGTAGAAAAGTTGGCGTGCAGCCAGATAGAACGTTAAATCGTAGCGTCGCGGGGATCGATTGAATCTTAATACCTTATCGACGAGGTCATAGCGCGCTGATCATTTACGCCCGATATAGGTGTGTTTTTATTTTTTTTCCGTTGCGCTTTATTCTATTCTATTTCTCGCTTATTCGAACTGTGTACACTCGTGGCCGAAAAGGTTGCCTGGTTTTTTCTTGTAAGTTTCAGGAACTCACCCTTCTTGTCCAATGAGAGAATTTATTTTCCAATGAAAAGGCTCTCTCATTGGACAAGACGGATAGGTTCCGAAACTTACATAAAAGACAACTTTTTCGACCACGAGTGTACGTGTGCAATAACTGAGCTAATGTGAACCAAAGTCGTAAGTCGTCGACTATTTCATGTTATATATTCTTTGCACGAATACGAAGTTTTAAACCGAAACTGTAAATTGGGAGACAAGAGTTGAGAAATGCCAGAGTGAATTTTACAAAAGCTCCTTTACGTTTGGCCAAAATGCGGAATGACTTTTCTCCCGATATTCGTGGCGCATGGCCGATGAATTTAAGGTGAGAATTTCACCTCTATTTGCCCGAGTGTATAAATAAACGGAACTGAATACGAAAACATCAAATTATTATTGCCGTTTAACTTAAAAGGATCTCTACTGGAATAGAAATGTCACTTTTATTATTAACCCATTAGAATTAATTGACAAATTTTTCTTGTTTCAACGAATTGACTTGCAAAATTGCAAAAAATGCAAACAAGCAGACCTATAATCGAAGCCTCGACGGTCTCGAAACCCTCTTAGCCGGCAAGCACGCTCGGATCGTTACTCTCGTCGATAAGGTGTTAACATTTATATATTACTTACTTCACACTTTAGCATAATGACAAACAATAACGCTGATAATATAACTATAGTCGAGAAAGCGTTCCTATCTCTTCCTAACGTGAACGCCTTAAGAACAAAAAGAAGCGGCGGGTCGCCTCGCGGATAGTAAAGAAGCGTCGATTTCCCCGTGTCGAGCCACTGGCTGTGATGATATCAAAGCGAATCCACGAGAAAGCGGCTGATCTCGTCGCGTTGGTCGCGATCTTAGCATTGGCGATCCATCGTGGACCATCTTGACGCAGCGGCGACGGCTATCGGTCTCGTGTGTTCTCCCCGTGTTCGGTAGTGTGGTGGTGGTGGTTGACGTGTGGGTGGTGGTGGTGGTGGTGGTGGTGGTTGGGTAGGTGTTTATGCCGGTGGTGATGCGCGTGATCGATGTATATAATAATGTATACAGTCAACAAATCTTATTACATCTAATTTGTCTTTTCACGTAGCGACGGGAAGACAGAGCTTAGAGACCCTTCCGGCTCACAGATGTACAGTAACGAGGTGGAAAGAGCGGGCAATAGCGGGCGGAAGGCTCACGGGAAGGGATCGGGAAGGGCTGTGAGAGAGGGAGGAGCGAGGGACGGAGTGAGGGGTGCGCGTGATCGGCGTGCCGCTAATTTTTTTCTTTCTTCCTTCTCTCCTTATCGAGAACATTGAACGGCGGGGAAACGAGGAGAGGGAAGGGACACCGCTTAGAAACATTGATATGGCGCATGGTAGTGCTCGGGGTGCCTAAGACCTGATATGTGGAGCAGGTATACGTCACCGGGAATACTTGGGCTCGTCAGGAGAATCGCTAGAACGGCTACACTGCGCTCTGCTTCGTACTGTACGGTCCGCGTTGCTCCGAAGATCGCGCTCAAACGCGAAGGGAACGGGTTGAGGTGCCGGCCGAGGACGATTAACGCGTTAAAGTGATCCCGCTGCGAATAAATGAGGGGGCATCGTAGAGGAGGAACGATTCCGTGAGATTGCTGATATTTTTTTCTTTGCGTCTTTGTCACCGAGAGGTCGCGTACCGCGGAGAGAATAAACGTGGCGACGATCTTGCGAGGAGCAACGCGTATCTCAACGCGTACAAGAGGGACCAAAGCGCAACGGCAGTAATACCCTTTCGCAAGTACCATTAATTAATAACAATATTAACGATATGTACCTACTGTATCGACTATCTAAGTGTCTAACTAACGAGCATTAAACCTAACGCCTTAAACGCAACGTGTGTTCGTTTTAAACATACTTATTCGACCACCCGCCGCTTTCACAAAGCCCGCGGGCGTGGTGGGGGTGGGGGGGCGGGGTTGAGAAAGTACTATAAATAATCGTGACGCTAATAAGAATAATGATAATAATTACATTATTAATAATTAATCAATCTCGAATACTCATTGCGATTGCAAATATATACATATAGAGAAGAGATGGGATATGTATTAGTTAAGATCTCTAAAACCAGTTATCCGCAGCTTGCGCGCCTCCAAATTACAATTAATTATCGACACAGATGGCTCGTCTTTACAACCTCCAAGTTTGGTGTGTGAAGTGTTTTTTTTTAACATGTAGTCGTGCTTATACGTACACAGTGCTATGTAACTCTACTCTGGAATACTGTATCGTTTACAGGATCTCTACAGGCTACAAATTACAATTTGATTTTGTACAACGTTTAGAACCTGTTCACCAGAAGATGTCCGCGAGAAGATGCCTGAGTCGCGGTTATCATCGCAGTCGCGTTCGCTCTGCGATTTACGATTAAGGGTGTGTGTATCTGTATGTCTTTGTATGTCTGTGTGTGCGGGTGTGCTATGTCCTTGTCCATCGATTTACTTTAAATCTCTATAAGCGTGACACTTAGCGAGAGAGAATACGCGAAACTTACTTGGGGTGGGGTGGGGGGAGGAGGCCGCGGGTCCTCTTCGTACCAAAAGAGAAAAAAAACCGGGTATAAGCTATGTACATTCCCACTCGTCCGTGGTAAGAGACGCGCGATTAATCTTACATCGCAAAACGCGTGTCTAACGACTAACGTGCCCTCCTTAACCCCCACGCTGCGCGACGGCGGCGTCCTGAGGATTGGCGTTTTGAAGCGTCGCTCTCCCTCGGGGCGTCGCGCAAACTTCCAACGCGAGGGTGTGTGTGTGTATATGTGTGTGTGCGTGTGTGTGGATTATTTGCGTCCCGCTGCGCGCTTCGATGTATCGAGAACAGGCGGTAAATGTGGTACCTGAGGACAGGTGCGCGCCCGATGACGCGACCACTTCGCGCAGTGAGCGCCGCAGATCGATCGAGGCACGCGGGAAAACGCAAACACTCAACCCTAAACACGTGCACGGGAAAAAAACAACTCGAAAATTCATCTGCGGGATGTAAAGTTTACTTCTGTGGAATAAAGCTTATTTCTGCGGAATACAAAGTTCATTTATGCGAAATAAACTCTTGTTCCACAAATAAATTTCCAAGTGTCTTTCTTGGCAAATGTACAATTTACCCGGACCTTTCAAACGTTACCGCTCCCAAAAACGTGTTTTTTTTCTTTTATTACGACTTTTTTATTGATTAGCGAAAATACCAATGGAATCATATCCCCCGACGATTTCTGCTCGGATTTAAAAAACGGAACATTTAATTTCGATCATTTCGCCGGGAGTTGTGAAAATAGGACGCGTTGGCTAAAATTGATCCGTGTTTGGGGTTCCAGGATGAAGATGCAAGAAAATCGACCAATCACAATCGATTTTTGGACTTATGAAGAGATTCACCAGTTGTAGTTGGTCGATTTGCTCGTTCAAGTTTTACTGCTTACGTTCCTCCGTGTGGTCCCGACCTCAGTCCTGCTAGAATCAATTTTCTTTCCTCACTCTCTCTCTCTCTCTCTCTCTCTCTCTGTCTGTCTCCTTTCCCCAATCTTTTTCTCGTCACCGAGTTGATTCGAGCCAGGATTAAAAGTCTCCACGCTAACTGCATAGAAATATAAATTTATCCAATGACGTAACCGAGGATCCTCGGAGGATATCACCGTGGGTATTAATCGTCCACACGAAACGTGCGCCCGACGATATCCTCACCGCGTGCCGTCATTAGGCTCGCGCGCGCCATTAGGCGCACCTGTCCTCGCGCTCCCGTGGCGATCGCAGGTGCGCGATCCTCAGGATTCCGCGGCACTAATGGAACAGGCAGCAGGCCGACGAAGGTGCCTTCGGCCGAGGGTTGATATGCAACAAGCCGTGTGAGAGAGAGCTTCGCTCTTTGCGCGCGAGCCTCGTCATCTTCTGATGCACAGTACTCGAAGTGTGACATATCCGTTACTTATATATGTGTGTCTTTAGATTTAACCCTTCCACACACCCCCGCGCACATGTCGGTCGCGCATTAGGCGGCTCGACGACGTGCTCCATCTTTAGAAATCGATTTCTGCACGGACTACGAGCTACCACCCACCCCGTACGGTCACTCGCTCTCCGTTTTCACGCGTCTCGCCGCTGCTTATGCGTCTCTATGACTGTTCCTTTTGGAGTTCCTCCGCGTTTTCTTCTCCTCCTGCTCGACTATGAGAGACGGCGGGCGATCCTACGATCCTACGTTCTCGTTAAGTCAAAAGTCCTACGGAGGAGTCGCGCGGCCGTCTCTAGCGCGCGCGAAGTTCTAGAATTCGGTGTTTGCTGTTCTATTGATTTTTTTTTTTTCATGTTCTTCTTCTTCTCCTGACTAATTACACTTAGCGCACATGGAAAAGGGTTAAATGTAAAGGTCGACCGTGTCGAAGGGACGCCGAAAGGGACGCGGCCCCGCCGCCGCGCGTGCCTTCGCGCCCGAGTCGAAAGAGACGCGGCGGCCGGGACGAGCTGAGCGAGTGTGTTCGTTGTAAATACGTTCTACGTACGCGTCTCACTTGACTGGAGTTTAGCGCGCGGGTAAAGTGTCAGAAAATAAGCGACAGTCTGGTATATAACGTGCTTTCGATCTCTCGATGCGTCCTTAATTAAAACGCGTCATTAAACTCGCGCCGGGACGAGATTTGCGTCTCGAAGCGGGGAGTCGTCCCATAACACGGGATGTGTCACCTGGGAAACGATAACGCCGCCGTTTCCTTAATGCCTACCTCGAGGAACGAAGCCGCGTTTCCGCCCTGGGCCGCTTCCCCCGGCGCCTCGTTCGTGTTTTTTTCCGACGAGGAACTCAGAGAAAGAGAGAGAGAGAGAGAGAGAGAGAGGAGAAAGGGACGCGGAGTCGGCGGGATGAAGATATAGATGAATCACGGCGAGATACCCGCACGAAGGAGTTAAATTTTCAGTGAAAGAAAGCGCGGAGGCTTCCGCGTTGGTGCACTTCTGATAAAGTATTCAAATGTATCAGCTTGAGTCACACCGATTCTCTCTTTCTCTCTCTCTCTCTTTACTTAATCATTTTCTCTAATTAAAAAAATAGTACACACCAGTGTGTCAAATCTTTTTCAAAGATTTCAGTTACGAGAGATAAAAGTTATTTGTTGTCTTTTAAAAAGGCTCAATCGATTATAAAGATTAGTTAAGAGAAACGAGATCGAGAAGAAATTGAAAGAATTTCTTAAGTAACGGGCTCGAGTGCGTTACTTTTATAATTGCGCAAACGAATCGTTAATCATGCGATTTTCGCGACCGCCATCTTAAGCTCTGGCCCAAGTAGAAGAGAATGAGAAACTGAAAGACTGAGATACGTGAAATCTTTCCCCGAAAAGACACGGCGATCAAACGGGCTCTTTACGTTCCTGGCGATCGCGAATTCGTTCCCGAGGAGCTGCACGACCGGACAAAGTATATATTTCACTTCGGATTTGTCTTTGAGTGGACATCGAGTGCGTGGCGGCGCGTTTGCCACGCGACGCGATAATACGCTCTTATATAATTTAAACGCCGTACTCTCCGCATCACATAAATATATACATATACATATGTATATATATATATTTATCTACAAAATTGTATGATATGGTTGCACGTTCCTAAAACTGCTTAGCGTCTTACGTCTTAGGTCCTGTTCGTCAAATCAAAAAGTACTTCTCCGACGTAAAACGTGATGTGTACTCTGCGTGTAATCAAAATTCAACGCGTGATTACACGACAACGATGATGATGACGACGATGATGATGATGATGATGATGCTGTTGATGATGATGATGAGTGATGATAATGATGATGATGATAAGTGACGATGAAGATGATGATGATAATAATAATACAATAAAATGACATGTAACTCTATTAATAATTACAATATATCGGTCGTAATAATAATAATAAAAATATAAGAATGTGATGTGAAAACAAGTTTAGGCTCTCTTGGTAGAGGAGAGAGCGCGGATGGGGCATGTTAAAATAATATATGTATGTATATATATACAAGATGTCCCAGATTCGTCTCCACAACGTTCGTGGAGACGTAGAACGAATTGAAGTGAACATAGTTCGTAGCATTTTACGATATTTCCAATAAATTTCGAGATTTAAATTAAAGAAGATCGGTGAATGTCACGCGAGATATGGTAGATATGTGCTTGTATCTTAGATCAAGCAAAAAAAGTCCTTCATTTTGCAAACTACGTAGATTTTTAGTTATTAATGGAATTGTTATGTGATTGTGCGCGATAATGCGCGCAAATCATCTTTAATTAATATCTAAAAATCTACGTGATTCGCAAAATGGTAGAAGACTTTTTTGTTCTGTTTGACCTGATGTATAAATATACAAGCCGCAGACGGTACTACTACAGCTCATCTATCATATCGCGCGTTATCATTCACCAATCTTTTTTAATTAATATATCTCGAGATTTATTGCGAATATCGCAAAATGGTACGGGACCTTTATCACCTCAGTCCCACGAACGTTGCAGAGACAAATCTAGGATATTCTGTATGTATATATATATATACACAATATATATGCACATATACATATATATACATACACATACTACGTCGTTGGAGCACAACTCTCTCTTTCCCTCTTTCTCTCTCTCTCTCTCTCTCTCTCTCTCTCTCTCTCTACCATCATGAGCCCTCGAGTGTAAATAACAAACTACCGACGCGTCGCAGTTGATCGCTGAAAGCGCGCGTTAATTAACTTAGTACCTCTTTTATTTCCGCTGTGTGTCGCGCTCGCGCGTTCCTCCCCGACGACGTCGATACACGCCGTCCTCTACGATCGACAGCTCCAGCGAGACGGTTTTTCGTCGTCGGCGTTCGAAGGTGAGAGGAGTAAGTCCTCCCGTTTACCACCAGCCGAAGCCCCCGATTATACACAACTTATCGTCTAGTTGTATTGTAACAAATATTGCCTCGAATATAAAGTTTGTGTGTGTGTTTCCTTATTTAAATTATTTCTCATTTACCTTAGGTATTTCTCGCTCTCTCGCTCTTTCTCTCTCTCTCTCTCCCTCACGTTCTCTCTGTGACTTTCTCTCCCACTCTATCTCTCTCTCCCACTCTTGCTCTCGCATTCTCTCCCTTTCTCTCTTGCTTTCTCTCACGGGCAATGGACAAAACACGGCGGGTATATTCATCTCACGCATCTCAAAAGGGCGCGGCCCCTTTATTATCTTACGTTTACGTATGGCCGAGTCAAAGTCTATATTTATTTTTAGTTTAGTTAGTCGTTTGGTTCGCATCGCAAAATTTGTTCGGAGATCTAAAACCATTCTTATAAAAACGCCTCTCGGCCCGACAAAATATTGCCGAGGGACACTAATATATCGTGTACGTGGGTGTACGTGTGCATGTGTGTGCACGTGTGTTTTACGTGTGTTACTGTGTCCCTTTCCCTTTCTTTCTCTCTCTCTCTCTCTTTCTCTTTCTCTCTCTTTGTATATCGTCTGTGGCTGTGAGAGTATGCATGTGTGCATGTGAGGTGTATGTGTGTCGTCGATTTCATTGTTCCTCATTGTTTGTCTTGTTTCTTTTCTTTTCTTCGCTTTTGTTTCGATATATAAAATTCAGCTTCGCAGAATCCGCGATCTGACGAAAAGTGCTGTAAGGGAGTGCCACGGCGCTCGTCGAGCGTGGTGCTTCGCTTTGTCTCGTGTTAGTACGTTTGTGTGTGTGTGTGTGTGTGTGTGTGTGTGTGTGTGTGTGTGTGTCTGTCGTTTTTCCTTTTTATTATTATTTATTTTCATCGCCTGCTCGCGAGCGTGCGGACACTGACGTGTCGTCGTCGCAACCTGAACACTACAGCTTTTGGGAGGATTCCTTCGTTCGTTTATTCGACTGGAGAAGCGGAGGGTGTAAGTGGGGGGTACAGTGGAAACGACTTAATCCTCTTAATGGATAGCAGTCTAGACGACTTTTATTGTTAACGTTTAGGGCCCGCGACGTAGCCTCGCGCGACGAAAACCGAAACGCAAATCGAAACGCACTCACCTTGCTGCCCGACGTAAAAACTTGCAGATATGCAAAGTTTGCTCTCTTTCTTTCTCTCTTGCAATTGATCAATCATAAAATTAGCACTTATCCGGCTAGTGGATGAATTACAGACGTTTTCGAAATAAAAAAAGAAACGAAAAACAACCATTATGCAATTCGTCGATTATTTACGCCATTTCGGCAATGGCGTCTCTCTTTTCTGCTACTTGAAGAAAACGTCAAGCTCTACTAGAGATAAATTTCAGGATAATATAATTTAAGAATACCCTAAGTCTGTCATAAAGATATGCTCATATCTTTGAAGAAATGATCCTTCTCTCTTTGTCTCGCTTTCTCGCTCTTTTTCTCTTCCTTTTTCCTTCTCTCTTCTTCAACTTTTCATAGCTCTAAAATGTCTTACTCTAACGCGAAAAAAAGAACGCAACCTTATCGCTATTAAATCGCTTTATGCTTTTAATTAATAGATGTCGAGCAACAACACGCTAAGCGACTGGGGCAAAAGCAGTATATAAGAATCCTAGATTAGAGTTATTTACAGATTCGATTAAAATGGCCCCAATTAAAAGGTTCTTACATTCTTTTCGAGACGACGACGACGACGTCTTGAGGAACAAGTTCAAAAGCCGCGGAAGAATTCGAGCTGCGCACGCCCCGCACACATGAGAGTCGCGCTCCAGCCGCGAATTACCGTGTTGTTGCCTTCATGAGAAATTTTAAGAGTTTGTTTAAAATATATGTATATATATATGTTGTCGATTTTAAAATAAAAGAAATAAGGAAGTCATCACTCCGCGGGAAATCGTTCCTGTAGCTGGAGGAACGATTTGCCCAGTCGCGTCTGCAATGTGGTACGTGTGTGTCTCTCTCTTCCTCTCTCTTTCTTTCTTTCTCTATTTCTCTCCCTCAACACAAAGTTACATTAAATTCATCAGAGAATCACACGCGACGTTGGCTCGCGGTGGCGAACACGCAAAGGAAACGGCGCGACGCTCGCCACGGGCCGCTTGCGCCAATCGCGACGATGAAGCGGCGGCGGCGGCGGCGGCGGCGACGTTGTGTTGACTTCAGTGACATTCAGAAGCGGATGCTGCAGGTCGTTCTCGCGCAGGTCTCGTAAAACAGTTTGTTCTCGCGGCGCAAAACTGATTCAGATACTCCGAGAGCGCTCTCTTCCTAATTGTGTCCCGTGTGTTAATTAAAGTGGTCGCTGAGAAATCTCCGTTTCATTTTTATTGGATCCCACAAAGTATGGTCGTCGAGGAGCGCGTGGCTCGGCTTCAGAATAAAACGTGTGTCGTGCGTGCGGGTGCGCACGCGTTTCTGGTGAGAGTCGAACCGTAGTCGCGCGGACGAACGAACGAGCGAACGCACAAACGAGAGGGAGCGGCGTCTCCCGTGAGTGCACCGGAGAGACGCCCGTGTGTCGTGACGCGAGAGGCATCGCAGAAGCAGCGCTCACGTGTGCTCGCTACGTGAACAATCACGAGGAATCGACACTTATTCGCGGATCCGCTCCCGCTCCGGAATTCCAGTATTCACCAAAACGCCACACTTCTGAGAACATTCATTCCGCTGATCTCTCCCGAATTTTCCAGCTGTCTTTCCTCTCTCACTTCCAAAAGACTCGATTCTCTTCCGAAGAAGTTAGACCGTCCTCGCGTCGTTCCGCTACCAAAGGGATGCCACTCCTTCCGTTTGATTTCCCGATGGCCACTTCCGTCGTCGTCCTGAGCGAGTCCGACCTGTTCCCTTTGATAGATTAAATTCCTAAGTATTCTTCGATGGGCTCCTAACTTCCTCCAACGACTGCTCCTCCCCCAGCAAGTTCTCCAAACTCTTTCTTTCTCTCTCTTTCTCAACTGCTCTCTTTCCCGCTTTCGAGGAGCATCTTCGAGCCGCTTCGTCCTCCTCCATCTATTCGCCAATAAGAAGTGTCCTCTCTTCTTTCTTTATCTCGAAAAAATTTCGGTACTCTTCGGCCGTCTGTCCTCCGTGGCGCGGCGTCATCTCTCTCTCTCTTTCTCTCTCTCTCTCTTCAGATGGCTGCCATCTCATCGAAATGGTCATCACCATATCAACGTCCCTCCGGAATGAGATCGCAAATCCGCATCCGTGGGTTCCTCATGAAGCTCACTGATGCATTCCCTTTTGCCCTTGATATGTATGCGCGCCGGAGGCCGCCGGCTCTCCGAGCTGTTTCTTCAGGTATCTCCGGGAAGCGGGGCGCGACACCTGCGCCGGCCGTCGAGCGCGCTTCCCCGAGATGCCGCGAGGATCGTCACACGTTGCGACAGCCCGACACCGTCACACATCGCGCAGCACTTACCCCACAACTTCGCGAACGCCGAGCCTGGTTCCGACCGCGTGCCCTCCGCCGTCGACAACCGTCCCTGGCGACAATCGACACTGAACACCGTCAGCGCGCAGTCGTTGCGCACTGTACCGCCGGAAGATCTCCCCGACTCCCACGAACGAGAACTGCGACGATGCACGTTCGCGAGACGGCACGTGTATCGACGACATGGAGCGACATCGGCGGTCTCGCGATGGGCATCGCGTTGTCGTGTCCGAGCGAAGCACCTGGACGCGTTTATCGTGTGTCTCATCCTCGGAAGGTCGGCTGGTCGGTCTCGCTGATGCGTGCGTTCGTCTCACCAGCCCACCGGCCAGGTTGGGCCCGTCTCAATAGGGCCAGAAGGTGGGCAATGGAGGCGGTGGCGGTGGTGGTACGGTCGGGTAGAGGGTCGGAGTGGCTATCAGGAGACAGGTGGGTGGCGGCAGAGGTGGCGGCACAGGTGGCGGTAGGACCGGGGATAGCGTTATCGCTGCGGCTGCGGGGTGCAGGGCCGTGCCCGTCGGGGCACACAACGGGTGCAGGGCGAGAGAGGGGCGCTGGCGCTGACGCTGACGCTGCTGGCCCTGGACCTCGCCGTTCTATTCCGAGTCCTGCTGCATTTTGACGTGGCCATTACCGGCGGAATTGCTCGACGCGCTACCACTGCTGGGCGGGAAGCTCGTGGGTATGGTGCGCGAAGATGAGAAGCAGAGTTTCATGATGTAGGGGAATTTGCCATCTGAAACAGGCCGCGCGACCGGACCGCGTTGTTATCGCAGGGACCGTCAAGCTGCGAGTCTCCGCGTTACGTTACGTCACGTTATAGCCGTATCACACTACACGCGAAAAAATTACTTAGTAATATCAGCTAAACCGCGGTAGCTGATTTAAACTTAGTCAAAAGGCTAATCGTTTAGCTGTCACTGCTGAGAATTGGCTATGAACAGCTAAAATGCATTTGCTATGAAATATAAATATGTTAATAGGTGACATTAAAAATGCACATTATTTCAAATAGCTAAGAAAATGGTAGTTATTCCTAAATTTCTTATCGTATGCACATATTAAAGAAGTTTGCCGCACAGCTGCAATCATTTGCTACAGTCATTTGTTTCTAGCAGCTAATATTTCTCGCTGTAGCGCCTAAGTTTAAACAGCGAATAAATTTAGCTTCGGTAGTATCGACATTAGCTGTCCCTATTTCAGTGACATCTTATCTGCCACAGCTATGTTTTAGCTCTGGAAGCTAGTTCTTTTTTTGCGTGTAGCGACTCGTGACTGCGGCTGCGGTTGCGATTATGTCTCTTAGCCAGTCAGAAAGAAGCTGCTAGCTACCACCGCTTTTCTCATTGGTCAAGAGACATAATCGCAGCCGCAACCACAGTTGCGAGTCGCTAGTGTGATACGGCTATTACATGGAGGAAAAGTTTCGCTGCGTTAACCGGACGAACCAAACGTGTCCTGGTTTGAAGGGAACAAAATTGATTATGAAACAGATCATGAGGACCAGAAATTCTAAACAAATTTTTCAGAAAATTTCCTCAAGAATAATCCCCCTAAGAAAAAGGAGAAAAATTTAATTGAATTAATCTGACCATGAATAAACCGTTTAGAACACAGAATTCCTGGATTTTTGAATAAAAATCGACCACACTTTTTTTTCGTGTTATGCTGATTGATTGACTATGTTCACAGCGACTAGTATATTTGGTGTTTGTATCTCCCGTTTCGATATTTTGACCTCGACATCGTAGAATGGTTATCGTTTTACGAGGAGTAGACGAGAGACGCGCGGTTCTACTAGATATCTACTACTTAATATAAATGAATTGTTATAAAAAAAAGATGCAGCTGATTCCTCTGGACTTTTGCCTTTCAACGGGCGGGATTATCGCGCTCTTGGGAGTTCCAGGGAAGGTACTTAAAACGAGGATCAGACGGGGTGGGATGAAGGTATTTCATGTCCTTCCCAATAAACGGGAGAATCGTAAAAGCGGGCCGAAGGAAGTGAAATCCAGGTCGGATGAATAGGCGATAAAGTCGCGCTGGACCGTTCAACCGTTCGGAATATCATAAGCCTGTAAAACTTGCCGTGACCGTTGCCGAGGAGACGCGCGAGAGAGGGCGATTCCATTTTACGGTCGTGGCGTACAGATATCACAATGCCGATACTCACTACTATTCTCGAGCGCTGTGTGATTGCATTCCATAATAGCAGCTACCGCAACCCCAACACTGCTGAACTCAATTAGTCCGGACGACGATCTCTCAGACTTGAGTGGAAATAGCTTCACCGTCGTCGGCGCTTCAATGCCGCGCTCCACGAATACGCGATTCACGGTCTCTTCGGTCAGATCGGGAGGGGTATTGAAGAAGTGGACTATCTTCGAAGGTGGCTGTATCCTGTTCTTATTGGCCATCGCTGGGTTCAGGAATCTGCAACGACACAACCAGAACACCGGGCTAGAGTGCGAAATCTCACTTGGACCGCGAAATTATACTCTCTGAATTTCATGGAGCGACAAATGTTTTCACTCGAGGCGATAAAAAGTGTTTTCACACGAGATCACAAGAGTGAGCGTTTCACTCAAGATCAGAGTGAATTCTGATTCCGGATGAGCGGATGAACAAGAAATAACAAACTTTTTTCATGTACACTGAAAAAAATGTATGATATTTGGAACTATAATGGCATAGTAAAAAGATTATAGTTAGGAATATAATTTTTATAGTAAATATTACCATAATATTTGTAATATTTACAATATGAGCATAGTATAACTGACCCGTGTAAAATTTTTACCAAGAATTATAATTATTTGAAATAAAAACTATAGTAAAGTAGCAAATATTGAATGGTAAGAGAAATTAACTATTTTATATAGTCAATACAATTGGAATATTTGGCAAATATAGGTACATGTAACTATATTCCTAAAAGATACCTTACCATATATATAGAGTAATAAGATGGTGACTATAAATCTGTGTTTATTCTACTATAACTTCATGTTAGATTTATAGATGAACTATAAATATATGTTTGAGGCCAAAACGAACTATAAAATATAGTGAGATTATAGTTATTCCAACTATTTTTTTCTCTCAGTGTAATGATTATCATGAAAAGAGTAGTGGAGCCAAATAATGTTTATTACTTTTTAACTTTGTTTTACACGGAAAAAAAGATTTGATTGAATTATCCAAATATCTGGTCGAATATAAACAATCCAGAAATTCCGATTGAAGTAATCCGAATTCTGTTTAAGTTAACAAGATTTTTGGTAGACTAATCAAACATGTCTGGTTAAGTAAGCAGACTACTAAAAATCTTGTTAACTTAAACAGAATTCGGGTTACTTCAATCGGAATTTCTGGATTGTTCATATTCGACCAGATGTTTGGTTAATTCAACCAAATCTTTTTTTTCCGTATAATATTTCTAATCTGTCGCGAATACTCTGCGCATGTATATGTTTCTTTTTTTTTTCGGTGGGCTAAATAGAAAAAAACGATCGCCTCGAGATTAAGAGCGGGCACTTTCATTGTCCGGAAACAAAGAGAATTATCGAAAGAGAGTATCGTAGATTATCGTAACGTCTCCTCCCTTCGCGGTTCGATCAGGTCTCAGGCGGACTGTATTATTTGTTCTCAGCACGAAATTGTTCTCTTTCTCTCGCCGTCGCGCACAATACGCCGGCATCTTATATATTCCCGGCAAAAATGTCAGCTTACATCCAAGTCCCTCAATTACGCGGGCGAAAGCGGATTTCCGCGACTGGGAGCGCCGGGACGTTTCTGGCGCACAGTTTGTCTTTCGTGAGCTTTCGGGGACTTCTCTCGTGATTAACTTCGCGCAATCAGAACTCGCTGGCGCTTGAGGCGCAGCCGTTCTTTCCTGCGGGCGATTAAGTTTTTCGTCGAAAAGCAATACGCCCTTTCCCTCGTAGGGGCGCTTTTTTATCCTCTCCCCTCTCGCTTCTCCCCGAAGATATGTATCACGTACCGACGTATTTCTTCGCGTCGTCGTTAAATAATTCGTCTCACTGAATTATTTGGTTTAATGTCTTGGGATTATCGCGAAACGTGCTCGGGCCGAAATTTAAATTGGCTTGGTGGAAAATTTGATAAAAATGGGAGCGGTGATACCTCAAAAAATTGGACAGAGGAGGAAGCAAGCGTAGAAAAAAATTGCACAAATATACAACTTACGTTATCACTGTAGAAGATCATTGTTGAATAATAAGATTTGACGACGAATAAGATTCGTAATTTTATAAAAAATTTCGTATGAAAACTGTGATTTTTAGATTGTTTATTTCTGCCATTTTTCTTTTGTTCTTTCGTCTGATTTTTGTTTCTTTGTAATATTGCACTTATCACGTTGTGATGCGATTGTGATGATGCAATTTTACACGATATTTAATCGAAGAGAAGTTTACTCCTGTAAATAATAAAGTAATAAATACGAGTAATGAAATAAAAAAATATCACGAGGAATGTATATAAGTAATAATAAAGAAATAATAAAACTTGATTTTGTCATTTTCAAAATCATTTACAAAATTTTTGTCATTTTCAGGAAGAATTTTGTTTTTATATCGCGTTAATTTTGCAACAATTTCACCATCTGCAGCGCTCAATTCCATATTGATTTTACACCTAGACGTGTTTTGTCTTCCTTCCCGTCGGTATAGTGATTTTTGCTCGAGACGAAGAACGCGACAGATTTCACGACTGCGGCGAGATTTCGGCTCGCTTAATCGCCAAGCCGGACATCACCAGTGATGGACTTTCGAGTTCACCGAGGGACGATCGGTGGAACACACTCGGATCACGCGAAATCATGTCGCGTTGTTGTTAGCTCCTATTCAATCTTGGGATTTGATTCTTCCGCTCGAGCGCGCTTTCGCCAGCCGAACAGACCGAGCGAGCGACGGAGATTCCCAGGGCTTAATGGCGAGCGGCGGAATTTAAATCGCGCTCGTTTACGTGTCTTCATTTAATTAGACTCGAGTTTAATCTCGCGTAGTGCCGTCGTAATCTGCCGGCTCGCGTCTCACCCCGTAAGATTCGCGCGAAAGATGACGACGGAGAGAGGTCGATGAGAAAAGGATCGTGTTATCGAAACTGTGTTTCCACGAGAGCTTCGAGGGTTGCTCTAAGAGCATCCTATATACAGAGTGTCCCTTCACGATCTCTCGTGAGGTCGTAGAGCGGATTGAGAGGAACCGTCCTATACCGTTTTGCGATATTCGCAGACGGAAAAAAAAGGTTTTGTTGAATTAGCCAAATATCTGGTCGAATATGAACGATCCACACGGAAAAAAAGATTTGGTTGAATTAACCAAATATCTGATCGAATATGAACGATCCAGAAATTCCGATTGAAGTAACCCGAGTTCTGTTTAAGTTAACAAGATTTTTGGTAAACTAACCAAACATGTCTGGTTATTTAACCAGACATATCTAATTAAATAACCAGACATGTTTGGTTAGTCTATCAAAAATCTTGTTAATTTAAACAGAATATCATTAATTTTATAGAAGAAAAGTATAGCTTGTTGTACAACTAATTTTTTTAATATAATTGTTTATACGGATTATTTTGTATTACAGTTTTTTATATGGTTTATAATACTTAACGCAAATTTCCTGATATCATTAATTTTGTAGTAGAAAATTACAGTTTGCTGTATGAATTATTTAATATTTTGTACGGATTATTTTACGGATTAGTTTCTTGTACGATAAACATAGACAGTGGCGCATTGATTTACCACTCGCCACGCGCTGATATCCGCCTGCTATATTACTGGGTCGCGAGAGTTCCTCCCTCAACCATTCAGCGTACATTTTTCCTTAATCTTTTAATTTCCTTAATTAATTAATTTCTCAATTTTGTTCTTTCGTCTAATTTTTGTTTCCTTTGTAAATACTGCACTTATCACGTAATGATGCGATTTTGTTTATACGATATCTAATCGAAGAGAAGTTTACTCCGTAAATAATGAAGTAATAAATAAAATAAAATAAAAAAATATCACGACGAATGTACATAAATAATAATAAAGAAATAATAAAGCTTGATTTTGTCATTTTCAAAATCATTTACAAAATTTTTGTTATTTTCAGGAAGAATTTTGTTTTTATATCGCGTTAATTTTGCAACAATTTCACCATCTGCAGCGCTCAATTGAATTATTATTGAAAATATCGCAAAACCGTATGGGATTTTTGTATTTATCTCAATCCGCTCTACGTCCTCACGAGAGATTGTGAAGGTGATATGGGACACCCTGTATAAAACCCACGGTTGTACATATATGTGCGATAAGGGAGAATAGAGTGAGACCGAGGAGAAGATCAAGCGAAGACAAACGACATCCGATAAAACAAGGGGGAGCCGCGAAAAATGACAAGTTAGGATCAAGACACCACGGAGAATCGCGCGGCAATAGTCACCTGTTATTCTTGCTTCCCGTGAAATCCTTGAAGCTCGCTGTCTTGTCGGGTAGAATGTAAGGGTTGGTGACGTCCGAGAGGAAGGCCTGCTTCGAGAAGGCGAGCTGCAGCCTGCCGTCCGTCCCGATCGTGACGTTGTTCAGGTTTTGTAAACACCGCTCTACGGCTATACTGTCGCCCATTTGGATCATGGCACATCCTTCCTTCGTCTTCAAGAACTTAACCTGCGACACACAGGAAGAGGTCCGTCGTTCGGTTTAGCGCGTAATCTGGAAAGCGTGCGCGAACGCGAATCGATACCGCGCTTCCGGTCTCTCGAAATAACTCTCCCGATCTCCGAGGACGAATTAGCTAGGCACAAAACACTCAGGTAAAATGCGCCTAATCAAAGAAGATTCGTAACGTAACTCGATTATTGGGGAAATGATTTTCATTTCTAATGCATGTGAAAAAAATGCTGTTGCATTTTGGTTTGTTCATTCTCGCATGATTCAACCCATCTTTTTTTCTGTGTAACACTGCTGACTAATTTTGTTGGTGTAACAGCATTTTTCTCTCCTTCGCACAGATTTAAAGCATACATTTCTCGATGTCAGAAACGCGTAATAGTTACTTCACGAAGAACCGTATATTTAGCTCTGAAGCGGGCGTGTAGTGGCACTCTATTTTCTGAAAAATCACAGATAGGACGCGCCCCTTTTTCTACTTGTAGTGCGGCCTTTTGTATTCCTCATTCATCGAAATCTCGAGGTTATGTTCTGTTATAGATACGTTTGACTTGTGACGTGTTTACAATTTCTTAGCCCAACTTTATGATAAATAAGTAATAAGTCCGCGCTCACTAATGTTTGGTTTAACCCGTAACAGGTACCATACCTTTTTAGTCAAACTATAATTAGTCAAGCTATAATTAATCAATTTAGTCAAGTTACAATGGGATCCGGACCCCAATAAATTTTTGCCATTTTTAACATGATAATAAAAGATAGAAAGAAAAACGTTTTATAGTTCGAAAATAATACTTTACAAATATTATATTACAACTAGACATACATAATAACAATCTCAGTTTTTCAGTAACCTAAAAGAAAACGTTAACTGATTATAAAATCAACACAATGCGAACAGTGTTGAAATAAAATACACTGAAAGACAAATAATCGGAAAAAGAAAAAAATTTATATTTTAATCTAACTCTACAAATTATAGATTATATATAGAAAATATAAACAAGTATTGTTAAATTAAATACAATATTAAAATCTTAGAGAGTTTTTAGATGCAATCTTTATAGATAGTGCTTGCATATTTGGTGCATATTGGTTCATTGCATCTAACATATATTTCTTTAGACTTCATATCTTTACTTCTAGGACATTTATCACATATGGATGGCAAAATAATTTTAGATCTTTCAGTTTCTTCAATTTTTAAAATAGATGAAATTGTTAAACGCAATGGCTTATGAATATATTAAGTTGTAAGACGTCTCTTAGGTTCTACTAACTGAAAGGCAAGAGATTTTACTCTTTTACGTGAAGAATGAGTCATATTGAGCTGAAGATTAAGAAAATTATTTTTATAAAAGTAACGGTACAATGGGGTCACTGTGACCCCAGAAAAACAAATGCATATAATTCACAGCTACTTACAAATAACTCGATGATTTTTTCTTCTGTCACACTGAAAACTGTTACTCGAAAGGTACTGAAGATATTAGCGCCATATACAGTGGATAGTTTAGGAATTATCACGAAAATAAAATTAGTTGGGGTCCCTGGGACCCCATGGTATCTGTTACGGGTTAAAAGCATATACTTTTGTACTCTTTCTTCCATTTTAAAATAAACAGCACTATGTATACTCAGGATTGCTACAGAAAACCAATTTTGAAATTCCCTGACTTTTTCATGTTTTTTAGACGACAGTGGAGAATTTTCCATGACCAATATAATCTTCAATTTTAACGTTTAGGAACAGGGATTACAGAAAAAGTAGCTTATATTATTAAAAATAGTATAAATTTAGTTTAGTAACATAATATTCCTAACATATATTCTTGAAAATGTACATTCAGGCTGACAAAAATTATATGAATATTAGAAAAAAGAATGTAGTTATGACACGGAAAAGAATGATTGAGTGAAAAAATGCTGAGTAAAATATAAATTTTAATTATTTTGTTAATATTATGATGCACAGACTAGCATAGATGTATACATATTCAATATAAACTAAGAATTCTCAGTTTAAATGTTAAGAAACAAATAAGATTTTATAATTTTATTTATTTTTAAATAACATTTAAATTCCTATACTATGCCTATAAACTATAAAATGTTAAAATTAAAAAAAAAACTTGATACATTAATAAAATTCCTAGCGACTCTAGATTTAGTAAGTGTCTAGAGACTGTGTATTCTTCTCTTATAACTCAGGGAGGGTTACTTTAATTTCAAAGAATTGTAAGGAAAGATCAAAATTCCAGGTTATTTTATATGTTTCCCTGATCCCGGTTTTCCATGACAAATTAAAATTCCATGACTTTTCCCGGTCTGTAGCAACCCTGATACCGTTTCGGTGCGCTACTGTCAATTATTTCCGATTGGCCGACACCACGTACGACGCTATGTAGACAGTCAGCGCTCACGAGCATTACGATGCTATGATTTTGCGATGTCACGACGTTACGATACGACCGATATAGATCGTATGCCTGAACGGGGATGCGGCTGTAGCAAGACCTACCTTTGTCACGTTACCGTAGAGGCAGAACAGGTTAAAGAGCTTGTCGGTATTGACTTTGTCCGGCTGCAGGCCGTACACCATCATCACGGAGCCCTGCGTGCTGGAGGGTGGCGTTTGACCCAGGGTGGGCACGTAGCCCGGCCGAGGTGGCGTGGGATGTAACGGCTCGCGGCCGCTGAAATCGCTCTTGATACCGTAACGCTCCACGTACGGCTCCGCGTACGTCGCTGGCCCGTTGAAATTTTCCTCGTAACGATCGTGCCCGGTGGCCGGCGGGAAGACCTGTGGCGTGCCTGAAACCACATGCCACGAGATGCCGTGCTGGATAAATGATGATGATGCCAGAGTAAGAGAGAGAGGGGGTGGGGGGTTGGGGGAGGCAGAGAAAGCACGCATAAACCGGACATTGTGTCCGTCGTGCGACGACGTCCACCTTGATGGAAACACCGTCGGGCGGAGGGGTTTAACGATAGCTTCGCGATGGGAAAGTGCAGCCGCGCACGGAGATTGCTGGGAAGTAACCGTTACTTCAGTGTAATTGCCGAAGCTTTTCTCTACGTACTGCTTTTCGGACATATCGTGGAGCAGCTGAAAAATAACATACGCGATGTATTATTTTATATATCTTGCCGGGCGCGGTTGGAGGGCGAAGCGACCCCTCGGAGGAAATCCGAGAAAATTGATTGCAACCGCGAGGTATACGGGAAAATGTTTCGGACGAAAGTTTCGTGACATTTCGTGCGCTTTATAGCTGTGCCTTTAGATTTTCTTTAAGGCTCCTTGTATCTCGCCGCGGTCATGTTAAATTTATGATGTCAGAAGTGAGGAACGACATACCGACGAAAATCGCGTGCCATTTCTGAATAAAGATAAATATGGACGAAAGAGCACCTGAGACTGTTTGAGCATACTTGTAAAATTGTCCGAAAGATATCCTTTTCTATTGACAATTAATAAATAGTATGATAAATGGTGAAGTGAAGCATACAGACAAAACGTTTCTCACGTGTCTTATTTTCACCATTTATTATACGACTATTTATTGATCATCAAGAGAAAGGGATTTTCGGACAATTTTATGTTCTTTCGTCCATATTTATCTTTATTAAAAAGAGGCACTCGCAACTTTCGTCAGCACGTCATTCCTCGCTTCTGATGTCACAAATCCGATATGGTCGGCGAGGTATAAGAAACCTTAAATACGTAATTTTTCAATGTAATTTAAACACGTAAACTTTTAACTCTCATACGATATTTTGGGGAAATTTGAACGCGAAAAGTATATCACAGGCTGCGAAATTTTTACCGAAAACATCTTCTCACGTATCTCGCGGGATTTGCGAAGATATTCGCCCACATTTATTTTTATGGAGTTACCTTTGGGGGGGTTTAACCCCTAAACGTGTGGGAAAGCACATATGAAAGAAATACGAGAATCTCTTATTTCTTTCAGCTACTCTACACATATCCGAGGCCTATCAAAATCACAGTGAGAGATGTTTTCGTGTATTTCCTTGTTAGTTTATAACATGTATTATATATTGATACGTCAGGTATATGTATATTCAGTTCTTGATGCAATTACACTGGCATTCAAGCTTTCACTCCCTCTTAGTCCTCATTTACACTCACATGTGATCGAAAATGCCCATCATAATAATTAAATTTCCTCCATGGTGTTAATAGCTTTTGAAGGGTTCGAGGCGCCTTTTAATTCGCGAGTGTTGAGCATCGCACTGAGAGAAAAAGGATTAATTTCACTAAAAGTATAGTTATTTTTTTATCACTTTACTGTTGTTTTAACAGAAAAGTAATAGTAACAATATGTATGTAAGGTTATTGTTACTATCAGTACAGTAACACTTAATTTACTAATGAAAAAATGGTTCTCCTCACTGTAATTCTTTCACAATGCGAATATGATCACAGATACCAAACACTCTTTTTCTCAGTGCGGTGTCATGCACCACCGTTTATTTAAAAATTCTTGAATACTCACACGTACATATATACACACACACGCACACACACACACAGACGAAGATAATCTAAAAACCATAAATTATAATAAATACTCTATAAATATAATATATAACTACAAAAACTATAGATATACAAGTTACTAAACATTTTCTATAAGGTCCCAGGGGAATTTTTTGAAGGGGATTAATTAATGTTAAGAATATTATTCGCGGGGTAAAGACAGTCGACAGTCTGACAAGTGTGTTACGCCGTTGAACAATCTTATCCTCCCGCTGGGAATCAAGTTAACGCGCAAACATCCGCGACGATCGCTCTCTCGCCAGTTTCCATTTCATATCAAAGGTACAAAAGTGAGGCAACGCACACGGAAGCAAAAAGAAATATCGAAGGCAGAATCAGAATGCATTAGAGGAATAGAATGCAAGCACCAGCCGGCGTAATTCGAACCGACGGCTCCGTCGGAATGGTAATGCAACGCTTTGTCGGCAACGACTGCGTATTAAATGTTGCGACAAATGGTATCGATTAGGATGTCGGAGGCTGTTGGGAAAGGTGAGTGGGCAGCGCGGTGAGTTACGATAATGTTTTCAACTATCGGATTACATCGCGCAACGGGCTCGGAGTGGCTTCAATTGCAGCCGCGCGGCGCGCTTTGTTACGCTCGGCTCATCGATTTCCCGTCAAAATCGCAATAGGATCCCGCGGCCGCGGTGACTTACGGCGGCAGTTTTAGACAGTGCTATATACTGGGAATTATTTTCCCGGAGTCAATATTAGAAGTTCAAACAGTTCGAACTGTTGGCGGTGGTGGTGCGCGCACAAAAGGCCAAGCTGCCGGTTGTAATAGCGGTTCGGAGTGCAACGTCGGGTGCAACAGCGTCACGTGTCGGTTACGTGACAATTTCGATCTAGCTTTATCGAGTCAGCCGTCGAGATATTCGCCGGGAGCATCTTTATGCGAACCTGCGGATCTCGGAGAAGTAATTTGCACGTTTGAACAATTGAGGAAGACACTTGTCGAGAGGATGCATAGAAGAGAGAATTTTGCCTCGTGTATTAGGTTGGTGCAAAAGCTCCGTCTCGTGTGTTGTTTATGAGATAAAACGAAATTATTTACATTCGAGGGATTAATAATTTTCACGAATCAAATGTGAATGACATCGACTCGTTATTCCTTCAGACATTCCACTCTGGACTGCCAATGCTAGCACGCTGCAAAATGAAGTATGTTGTAACAGCACGTTAACGCGTCTCCATTTTTGACACATTGTATACTGAAAAGAATGGTTTAGTGAAAACCATCAAGTTCGAATAATAGTTACTAGATGCTTTGATGGAATAGTTGAAGCTAAATATGTATGTAGATGAGTATAAATAAATAATTTAGTTAGTATTAACAAAAAGAACTTTAACAAAGCTCGGTATCTATTACTAAGACTTGGTGACTATTACCAATCTATGTGGTATTACCAAGTAATTTTTGTAATAAAACCATATTATTTAGTGATACTTACCACATGATGTGATAAATACATAAAATGATTAAATTCGCTCCGGTAATATTCAACTATTCAGTAATTATTATCAAATATTATTTGATATCATTTACCAAATAATTAAATTGGTTAAACTATAAAGAATTTGTTTTACTAATTATTTTGTAATTATTACCAGAGACTGTTGATATGTATTATATTATATTTGATACTAATTACCAAATACAGTTCTGAAACGTTCAATCGAGTACATTTGTTAACTGTTACAAGGCTTTTGCAGTATACTGGTATTTTAAATTAATATTGTATGTGTTCTAATCTCAAAATATGTTATCTTTGTATGCATATGTCCTAACCTCATGCATCGTCTCTTAATGTAATGTCACATATTGTCTCTTCGATATTAAAATACGATATTTGAGGTTAAAACATTTTTGCCTAACACACATACGTGTATTAATTCAAGCTACCAGTATAGAGTAGAATTCACTTGAAGCTAGAGACACTTCAAAGCGCGCAAAGAACGACTATGACCGGTTTGTACAGCGCATCAAAGCATTCGCAACGTCAAGTGAATTCCATCTGTAATGTGTTAAAAGTAGAGACGTGTTAATGTGTTGTTATAACACACTTCATCCTGCAGTGTACTCCATTATTGCCACTCTCTAAAGTACAATCGGTGTATTCTTCATTGAAATGCTATACTTATAACTGATGGTTTAGTTCTCAGTATAGCAGTGAAATCAGTGAAATCTCGTTGAAAGGATCAGTTCATAATAGCGATTGTTCCAACTATTGGTACAGTCTGCAAATGCAAACAGTGCTATCGCACGCAAGCCGCATAGCCGTTAATTCTATCGCTTTAAATGCAATGCTAAAAGTTGAATTTGACACAGCAATGCATTTGCAATGAATTTGTGTGCTACACGTTTTGCAATGAAATGTTTCACTGACCGAAATCAGTGAGATATAAGACGAAGCAGTAAAGTAGAAGTGGAAATCAGTGAATACTCACTGATTGTCGGTGAAACACTTCCTTTACTGATTTAATCAGAAGCATTTTTGCTGATTCACTTTAACCTTCCGACGATCACGGGTACAATCGTAGTCAGAAAGGCTGTCCGTCATTTTTTAGATGAGTTTGTAGTATGTGGATTTACTTAACTTTCCATCTTGTCCAATGGGAGAATTCGTTTTTCAACGGAAGAATTCTCCCATTGGAGACAAGACGGACGAGTTTACAAACTCACTCTAAAAATTACAGACAACATTCTGTTCACGACCGTATCTGAGACGTGCCGAGCAACTTCATTTTGGTACGACATTTTGGTACGACAAGTGGAGATTAGAGTGATATCTTTCCCATCTTCTTACAAAAATAACTACCAAAAATTATGAAGACTGATACAAGGTTGTGTGTAAAATTATTATTAAATTATTATTATTTAAAGTTATTATTTTTCTTTTAATTAATATAATGTTTAAGGAAATATCCATCGTTGTTCCACAAAGACTCGCGCCTAACGGAAGGTTAAGAGAGCAATGTGGAGTTACTTTGACACCTTTAATTGCTTTTTCACACTTGTAATCTGTTTTAATAATTTTTAATTGTTTTTTTTTTTCGGCAGAAGGAAAATAAAGTAATACCAATTACAAACATTTTTTTTATTAAATCACATGAAATAATTATTCGAAATTTAGATCGAGGTGACAAACATTGGCGGCTTAACGAGGCAGGGTTAACGAGGACTTGTTGCTTTCCTTTTAATATCCAAAATTTCCACGAGAATTTAAGAGGAAAATGACAAAGCTTTTGCACCAACCTGATAGGACGTGGTCACGCATTTTTTCCTCCAACAGAGACACAGTGGATTTCATGAGAAAATGACAGCTCTAATTTTATCGCCGTTCCACCCATTATCATAATTAAAGCGTTCAGAATTTGCGCCGTACATGCTATTACGTTGCGTACACTATTTGCGTTGCGAATAAAATTGCGCGTAATACTCCTCCGGGAAAACGAAGCGGCTACGTACATTTGTGCTCTCGCCTTAATATTTAAACGTCTAATGAAAATAACAAGCTGCGCGTACTTGCAAAATGAGCGTGTCCTAATAAGATACTTTTCTAATTTGAAGAGCTCGTCCCAAGAGGGAGACAAAGAGAGGAGAGGGAGAAGAGAGAGAAGAAAGAGAGAAGAGAGAGAGAGAGAGAGAGAGAGAGAGAAGGAGGAAGGAAGGGAGAAACGCTTTCTCCGCGTGGAAATATCTGAATTTATTCAACGCGATATTTCATGAATGCGGTGGTCCGTCCAATGAATCTTTTCGGAGATAAAAGGTCCTCTCTCGCGCTCGCGAGGGCGCGCACAAGTAAATTTTCCTCTTCGTACGCTGCAAACTAATGCCGCCCTCGACGTACTTCTTTACTTCCGGCGAACGCCGGGAACGCCGGCCGCGTTTCGCACTTCGTCAGTCTTCCATTAATCCTGCTCTCATTTTTTACACGTGTTCACGGAAAACCTACGATCGCGCCGGTCGGTCGAGAGCCATCTATTTTCCGAACCGGTGAGCTTAATTTGGCCATTACGTACTGGCGGACGGACGGACGGACGGACGGACGGACGGACGGACGGACGGACGGACGGACGGACGGACGTACGGACGGACGAACGAACGAACGAACGGACGTACGGGCGGGTGGACGGACGCTGAAACAGGCAGACCAAACAGACAGACAGACACTCACCGTATGGCTGGGGCGCGGCGCCGTATCTTGGTTCCGCCAAAAGGGGAGCCGGCCTTCCATTTCCTGTCGCGTCGTTTTTGTGTGTGTTTGAGCCTGCAACAGAACGAGCGAGTTCCTCGATGAGACTCTACAATCACCATCGACGGCTACACGTCTCGCCGCTCCAACGTGACAACGAGACAAACGACGTGGGCCCAAGCGCCGTCATTTATCCCGCGTTCCTCGCTGGCTCGCGGGCGAAATTCCCGGCGAGAATCGCCGAGCGCTGATGTGAGAACGGGGAAGCTTCTGAAAGATGCGGGGGTGGCACAGAAACCGAAATTTTAAATCAATGTAATAACAATTTATCGTGCCGTCCCGATGGCGAGTGCAGAATTCCCACGATTCCGGGGTCTCCGAGGAACGCGACGGGCGCAAACTTGCGCGCCTCGAGATCGCGAGTTTAAACAACGCGAGGCGCCGAGCATTCTTCCGCAAAGTCAGCGTCATGTATGCCATATCATTCCCTGGATCGAAAGTTACACGATTTTCAGCCTCACACATTTGCAGGGTGTACACACATTTGAGTGTTGCAAAAGCCTCGTGTGCGAGTAGAGCTCATCGATTTGAACGGAGAAGTCTTTCATTATCATTTTGCAACAACGATGATTACTGAGATATTAACTGACGAAAAGTAGCCAATGAGTGCGCGTGATGCGGTAGAACGAGCTTTTTAGGTCAGGTTTCATCCAAGATACCTGAATATATTGACAATCTTTTGACAATGGCGACTGTAGTGCTCTGGACTGTGCATATGTTATTAAAAAAAAAAAAAAAAAATATATATATATATATAATTTCATCCTTAGCGAAATTCTCCTAGGGCTTCAAGAGGATTTTTCAAGAGGATTTTGTTCTAAAAACCAAAGGAAAATATTCTAATACTCAAAGAAAGAAACTTCAGCAAGGTATTCTATTTCCCATAATTCCACATTCTAAGCGGAAAGTTTTGCAGAGAGAGTATTTCTCTTCCAATGAAGAGGTAATGTGCTTTGAACATTTCCCATTGGTTTTAGAAGAATCTCCTTGAAGCCGTATATAAGAGGATCTTGCCAAGAATGATATATTCTTTCGAATGCTTTAGCTGTCAGAATGGTGCAGGACTTCACCGTTCAGTTTCATTAGTTCTACCTGCACACGATATGTGAATTTCGTCAGGCATGTAGAAGGTCGAAAATCGCATATATACGGTAAAACACCCAATTATCGGTATCACTGATACTCCAGGAAAACCCGGCTTTTTTTGCGGCCAATAGTATTTATTCGCATATTCGATTATGTAGTACGATAAATCTCCTTTTTCTTTGGAATCATAGAGCGCAGGCCAGAAGTTCAACTGCGATAGTGGTCGCATAGAACAGGATAGAAGATTTTTCTGGAGCACCAATTACCAAGAGTGACGCGAACAAGTGGGTGTTTCTCACTCCAACTCTGTTTATAATGATTAGGCATAAATGACGCGGCGTGAACAACCCGCGCGGACCGAGGCGACACGGCCACCCCGTCGGCTTTTTCTCACGTTTCCTCGAGCTACACGAGGAATCATCAGGATAATGGTGTCGCTCTCGAGACGACTCCGATCGTGTTGCTAACGAGCGTTCGATCCCGGACGCGGCGACGACGACGACGACGACGGTGGTGGCGGCGGCGGCGACGGCGGCAGCGGGTCGTCCTCTTCCGATCGGCGGTAGGAAAGACGGCAGCTACGGTAACAACGTCCTGCATAATCCGCATTTGGCTCCTCACGCAGCGCGCCCCGTGCTATTGGTCTATATTAAACCGCGTTACACCCACTCACTCACTCACACACACGCGCACTCACGGGGGATGCACGCGGCGCTGTTTCCTCCGAGATGAGCGTGCTTCGGCAACGTTTCGGTACACTTGCTCTTCCTCCACGTGCACATCAACCCACTCACCGCGCTGCATCGCGGTGTGTATACACACGCGAGCGAGATATCGAGCTTGTTGCTGCAGCCAACCCCTGTATATCGCCGCGCACCCTTTTGCCCTCCTCCTTCTGCTCCTCATCCGTCCATCTATCCAACCAGCCAGCCACCCACCAGCCAGCCAGCCAGCCAGCCAGCCAGCCAGCCAGTCAGCCACCCTCGAATATTCGATATCGGGCGCGTCTCTCGCGCTCGCAAACGAGAGACGCTAGTCTTCTCGTTTGAAATAGAGCGTCTCCCGCTATCGCTCAAGCCGCATCAGCCACTCGATTGGCTCTCGCCAAGAGCAGGCAATCGCCTTAACCCTACTTGATCCCTCGGATCGAGCTCGATGCCGCTCCATTGTGGACGCGCAGGATCCCGGCAGATTAATTGCTAATTAAGATCGGCACGCCAATCCGTGACTGTTGGCGCGCTTCCCGACGTAGGTGGACATAAGATAGGATCTGACGAAAAATCTGACTCAAGTGGACGCACGTTTGCTCCTCCTACACGAACTCTTTCCCCAACGCGCTTCGAGCTCCTTCCCGATCCATTACGCGGCGCTTTCGGTTAGGATGGAAGTGGATTACTCGGTCGAAGTATCGAAGCGAGTGGTTGACGTCTAAAGAATGGCAGGCGACGTAATCATAATCGATTATCACGGGGATAAGGTAACGGTCGCAATTATGAACCGAGTTTCAATGTCGGCTCATTAATGTATTAAAAGAGTACACACTATAATGAGGACGTGGAAAGAAATTTCCTATACTTCCTATACTCTTTAGTTCCTCTACAGTTATATTCATATGCAAATGAACGAAAGTTACTCTAATCCATTAACTGACCTATAACACTGGTCAACAAATTTCGTATCATAATTTGTATCCTTCTTGAATGTCGACCCTTTTCTCTTTATGTGTTTAGACAGAAAACCATAATGAAAAGGAATTATCAGCTCTGACTCAAGAGCTTAAACTACCCGGCGTTGCGTGGGTTATCGCAAAGTGTCGAGGGGACGACATTAGAGGCGGGGTGTCCAGGTTTCATGGTAGCCTATAATTTCCGCAAGGTCCTAGGGAGTAACTATGCAAAATTTGGTCCAGATCGGTCAAAGGATTTAGGGGCTAGTAAGGATTATACAGACAAACATTCTATTTCATATACATAGATATTGTAAAATAATAGTATGATGTATAAAACAACAGAATATTTTTAGTTTTTCATTACCAGAAGAAAACTAAAATTCCTTCTAAATATTATATTATTAGACGGTTTTTAACGCTACCGAAATAATAGGATAATTATAATTGAAGAATGAAATTCGAGGTTCCTGTCCTCCTACAAGAAAAAAAATAGCTTTCAAAGAATTGATCTTTTGAGGAAATTCTCTTTTAATTATTATTTACTATATTATACTATTTACTCTTTTACAATTACTATTTATTATATACTGGAATTTATTTCGGGCTGGCTTTGATTGTTATATTTGTGATCAGCGCCACAGAGTAAACTGGAGCTGACTGCTCAAACGAAGGATCAAATTTTTGTGTAATTAGGACCGTTACTTCAAGCGCGAATTAGTCGGTGCACGTGCGCGTTGGCGAATGAAGGTCGAGGACGGAGTCACTTGTTGATTTTTTGTTGCCCCTCCGGCGATCCACGCACTCCCGATAATTACGCGACGCACGAATTATTCAGAAATCGGAAATCGATTACGGAGCAGCTGGCACGTGTTTTTCAATAACGCAGGCGGCAACTCTCTCACGACGACGACGACGACGATTCACGTATATACACAAGGAACGAAGCGTGGTGCGCGACGAACTCGAGAAACAGCGCACCTGGGTTACACCGAGCGAGTCCGTGAAACTCGATATTGGCACTTGTAGGAGTCGTAGAAGGTCCGCGGAAATTGCGATTTCGGATACGGACGAGGTCGCGCTTCGCCGGTCGCCGAGGCTCCCCGTCGTGCTGTTTGTCTTGCCTCGGGTACTCGGGACGGGCGACACGATTAACGAATTTACCATCCACCGCGGGAGCGCCCGCGAATACACACACACACACACACACACACACACACACACACACACACATCTTCATCGACAATCCGGGGAAACTGGGACAGCCAAGACAGCTCTCGCGTCACTTATGACCGGGGAACGACGGAGCGGCGAAGAGGATGGAGATTGACTCGCGTTCGGATATAAAGCGCGCGCGTCTTGTCGAATGCCCGCGGGGAAAAGATCTCCGACGGTTTGCCCCCGACACACGCCGTGGATCCCGCGTAAAATTCTCCTCTCCCGCCAGTGTCAGGTGCACGAGCGTGACGGACGTTCGGCCGTAAATTAATAACGCCGCCGTGCACGTTCGCTGTCAGGTTAAATCAGTGCGCGGTCCGGCCTCGAGAATTTCAATCTCCGAAACAATTTCACCGCGAGTAGTAAATCCTAAATTCTCTCTCCCCCCCCCCTCTCTCTCTAGTCATTACTCTCGCGACCAAGACACGAAGACGCCGTCCTCGTGCATTCTCTTGACTCCTTAACTGTTAATTGTTAAATAGTTCAGTGAGCAAACTGTCAATCTCGTGATCAATATGATCGATACATTGACTGCCGTGGTGGTCACTAATGATCGCACGGAGAGAAATTGTTAGATAAGAAATGAACAAACGGATATTTCCGATCAATATACCGATGAATTTTTGTATCCAGTCAGGATACGTCCAATGAGAAATATTGGCTCATAATTTCTTGATCGGTTTATCTGATAATTTCTCTCAGTGTCTCACTAATTTATATGTAGACCAGTATGAATATTAAATTTAATCTATAACCAATATATAGTTTCTATCAGGAAGGCCAATGAAACGAGCTAATGAACGTATGGGTTGCGAACTGCATTTATGTGCCGTATCTTTGACGATTTAGACTTGAGTTGAGTGCTGACATAATCGATGTGACATCAGCGTATTAAGAATCGAGGTATTCTTTAATAAATAAAGTTCCTTCGAGTGATATCTTTTTTTCTCACTCGAAACGAGTGAAAAGCGACAGTGAAAATACTGCCACTCGAAATCGCAAGAGTGAATGCTTTTACTCGAGCATAGAGTGGATTTTGGCTCCA